ACACATACAAACAAATAGGCATGCATCTGGTATCTGCTATGTATATGTCATGATCATCCTGTACAGTATCGAGAATTTGAGATTGTGTGTGTGTTTAATCGCAGAATTGAGCTATAAAATAAAGGCAAAAACTAATTTTAAAAAAAGTGGGACCTCAATTATTTTTCACTTGAGGCATTCTAATTAATTATCAAGTATTTTTTTGATTCACTAAGTTCAGAATGGCTGAAATCTGATTAATAATTAAGAGTTATATGTTGGACACTTCATGCAACCTGTACCATAAATCATTATTCAGTCTCTGACTGCCACAGTCTTATTTTCTAATTTCATCTTGCAACTTGTTTTTTTGTTGTTTGTTTTAAAGTTCCTGCCCTGTATCTTAAAGCCAAGTTTAAAACCTCAAAACACTTTTTTTAAATAGTGCTTTTGTTTTCAGTTTTAATTTTTATTGGCTAGAGATCACATTAAGTCTAACTGGGCATTTGGGAAGGGGAAATAATATGCACGAGTCTTCGTGCAAGTTATTTGTGGGAAAGGGAGGCATGAGGAAAGAGAAGGCGAAGGCAAGACTTGCTTTTTCTCTAAAGGGCACTGGCACTTACCCGGCTACATTCGATGAATTTTCTATCTTCTGTGGTTGCATGGTAGAGTGTTCATCAAAGGAACAGATAAAGACTGGTAGTCCACTTCAGTTCAGTTAGAGTACTTCCACTCACCATTTCACAGAAGAAAGCAGTTTTGTTCTGCAACACCCTCCCCTCAGTCCAAGGCTTTATAACTTTGCTTTTAAGGTGATCTTGGTCTTTAAGAGGCTTTTGGTATATTCACATTATAGAAAGAGTACAGAGGTTTAAAGGAAGCATTTGTAATTCCAAGCATAGCCCAAATTATAGGACTTTTTCATGCCCTAATTTTGTGGCATTCCCTTATAACACACCAGGGTATTAATAGTGTCATAGTTACCCTTTGTGGTGTCACTACAACCTTTTCTTGGATATTCTGTTACATGAGTCCTACATTGGGATCATTGTTTTCTTCTCTTCTACAGTGTATTTTGGGAAATACTTCTTAAAGACTCGTGCATATTATTGATGGAAGGGAAACAAATGTACTTTTAAGTATGTCCTCTGTGCAGAGTATTGTGCTTTACCTGCAGGACACACAAGATTGAATAAGATTTAGCTATGTTCTTGAAAGTGACCATCTGGGGCTAAGGTTTGGAGCACTGCCTTAATGAGTACTACTGCACTTACTGAGACCAAATCCTTACCCCTTCTACCTATGGACTCATTTTCTGTCTCCATTCCAGTCATTTTTTTTTCTGTAAGAAGAATTTCCTTCTATATATATTTATTGTCTCCCAAATCAAAGCAAGTAGAAACAAGCTTTCTACTGTTTATGTTCTTATAGAATGTAGAAATTCTAATACAGTCTAGTTTTTTGTTAATGGTTATTCTTCCCTCTTTCCTAGAGATAAATATTCAGAAGATTAATCTGTTTCTAGAAAAACCATCTCTATCCTGGGAGAATTCAAAATTGGTTTCTTCTTGGATTCTTTGTTCCAATTGTTACATAGAACTGAGTATGGCTTCCTCTACCGGGTAGTCCTCCTCCTGTTTCTAGCACTCTGTGGCCTTCCTCCCAATTTAGGGTCTTCTCTCTACATCTGATTATCAGTAGGTAATCAGACGAGAGTTCTTTCTGTGTCTCTTCCATCTTCCCTTTCTTTTCACCTCTTCAGTTTTGCTGATCCAGATAAACTTGAAGTATTCCTCAAATTGCTATTAACCTAGGTCTTTGTGTCTCATGAGGACAGTATTTTATGACAGCTAATGGTCTAGATTGACCGATTCAAGAGTCCAACAATAGGTCTTTGTTAAAATCAAGTACTGTCTTTTGTCCATTCTGTGGAGACTGAACCCTAACCTCTCATGGGGCAGGATCAGTACTCTCAAAAGAATTTTAGTCTGCTTTCCTTCCTGATATCTTAGGAATACTGTGTGAGTCTGTGAGAAAATCTTCAAGCCCACTATCATGAGAGTGAACCAGTAGACTTTCCTCAGTCCATCCTTCCTATCTCCACTTCAAGTGTTTTGCATATGGCATTTAGGAGGATTATTAAACAAAAATGAAATAGATTAAGAATTGAACGTAAAAGAATCAATTCTCTTGAACTGTGGTTGCATAATGGAAATCGACTACCATGAATGAACCCGTGTACTGAAGTTATGAAGAGCAGAGCTAATGCACTGCCATGAGTTCATCTTTATTATTGTATTACACCTGAATCAATTGATAAAGTAGCTTTTTTTTTAAAGTGAGGGATGGCACTTAATTGAATAAAAGTCAATGTAATTATATTAGCAGAGGCCAACAGTACTGCTGACAGCGGAAAAGGGACACTGTTGAACAGAGTGCCAGAGCTGGTCTACACATTTCTGCACATCGTTTGGTTGACAGATATTGAGGGCTGGTACATCATCTAATTAGATTACAGATTTCTACTGCTGTAAGTGAGAAATGAAGAGAAAATCTCTTCCTGGTAACATATTGGTGGAGATGTGTAATTTCACAAGTCATCTTAGGGAAGATGTGTCCATCTGGGTGATCAGTGTGTCCTTTTCTCAATGTTAATTTATTCTTCCTTATTCAGTGTGTCTTGATGCAACTGCTGTGTGTCTGGCTGCTATTTTCTCAGCAGTGAACCTAGGAAGTGGTAGCTGCAGATGTGTGAGACACAACAGAGTTCTAGATTACACTCACTGCAAAATATGTGCTCGTGAAATTAAGAAAGGAGGAGGTGTTAAAAATAATAAATGGGTAGGATTTCATGAGCTGCTTATAGTTGGCAGATTGTTTTATCAATAGAATAATAGTGCATAGCATAACTCTACTTCCACATTCTTGTAATAACTCTGGTGGTGTTGTACCCACATGTCAGAGTAAAGACCTCACAGTAGGCATTTCCTGCACTTGGCTTAGCAACCTGCGCTTGGAGTCATCTGCCATCTGACACCAAGGGAACGGGGAATTACTGTGTCAGAGCAGGGACCGTGAGGACAACTTCTGTTTATCATTTGCATAACCACACAGTGCATGCATCTGTTTAGAACTCATTTGTGGATGATGGTGATGATGCTGTGAATTTGGTTTATTTTAATTTGATTTATGATTTTTGGATTATACAGCTGATCTGAAAATCATCAAGACAGCATATGGGATGATCGCTTATGACAGAAAATAATTTTGTGATCAGACATTTTAAATCCCTATTTTATTGTTTAAGTTTTTCAAAACCAGATGTCTAGAATGTGAATTTGTTTTCTCTCTCTCTCTTTCTCTCTCTTTCTCTCTCTCTCTCTGTCTCTCATTCTTGCTTTCTTTTGTGATCGATTTAGCAAAAGATTAGAAAGCTGATCTTATTGTCACAAGGTAAGCTCAGCCTTCCTAAGTGCAGTTGGAGAGGGCTACTGCCCTCTGCCCCTTAAAACCCAGAGTGCTGTATATTGTCTTGTGTGGAAAGGTGGAGAAGTCTTCCCCACCTTTCTTGTCTCTGAGGCACATACCTCTCAACCATCTCTTAAGAAATATCAGCTGTGTTTGTCACCAAATGGAATGATATATTTTGGTCTTCCATACTTTTAATTATAATCGGGAGGTCTGTTGAACTTTATATCAGCCATTTAGGTCATTTCTTTTATCACAATTACTTCTCCAAGATGTAGAGCTTCCACCAGTATTGAGAAGCTTTTATTTATCTGTAGATATAGTAGTTTATTTTTTGGAAGGGTAACCTTCAATTTAGGTACTGTTGAACATGTGAGCCTTTGCAGGTGGAGAGAGGTATATGCCCAAGGGCACTTTAAAAATAAATGGGGGATATAAATACAAAGGCAATGTTTTCAGATAGATGATAACATATCAGGCTTTGTAAATCACAATGTCCCAGTGGATTCTCTGGGACAAATCCTTTTTTTTTTTAATATACAAGCAAAGCACTCAATGAGTAGAATAAAAGTTTTGCTTGTCTAAGAAGTATGGGTTTCAGTTGTTAAAATAGATGTTATTGTTGTGCTTGATTTTTTTTTTTTTGTACTTACTGTGTTTTAATTTTTGTACCTTTGGGTTTTTTCCTGTTGTTTACTGTGACTTTTTTTTTTATAAAGGTGGGTGGGCTTTATTTTTTTAAAAGTTTCTGTTTTTCAGTTTTTGTCTTAAATAATTAAATTTTAAAATAGAATTACTCGATGAAAATATTTTTGACTCTAAAATGCAGATTCTTCTAAAAAGTAAATGTATTTTATTATTAGATTTAACTGGATTCTTAAATGATTCTGAGAAAAGGCATTTGTGTTGTTAAAGACAGTCTGTAACCCTATTTCAAATTGTTTTAATCTATTTAGCTGTTGTTTTTCCTTAAAACTTGAAATATAGAGAGTCGAGAAGGAAGATTTCATTATTTTTTGAAGTTATCTCTAAATTATCTAGACTATTTACGTTTTTAAAAAATGAATTATTTCTATACCTCGAAATACAGTGTTCTGTATAGAAAATGTTTATTTTTCTTGTTTCTAGGTAAATTTAGACTATTCCATTTAGACAAGCAGAAAGTTTCTGTTCTCTTATTCTATTTAATATATATTCCAAAATCTCTGTCATGAGATTCTCTGCAGCTGATGCTGCTACATAGTAAAACTAACAGAGAAATCATTGAGAAAAGGGTGCACGGGTTTGCATTCATCCTACCATTGACAAATTTTACTGTCTTATAAAAATTATATTAATGGAAAGTTTCCCTGATTGCACCTCCCACCATCACCACTAACTCCCAGATCCTGAGGATATAGGGGAATGCTTGCTTTTATAATGGTATAATTAGCAGTGAATGTGCTTATTTGATACCTCGTGAAAGCTGAATCAATTTTAAAATGCTCTCCTTTTTCTCACCCCTCCCCACCCCCTATCCACCTACCCCCCCTTCCCTCTTATTTTCCTAGACACAGTGCCAACATAAACCTACATCGTAAACTGTTGACCAAAGAACTCGATGACATGGGCCTGGACTCATCGCAGCCCTCCCTTAGCAAGGACCTCCGCGATGAATTTTTGGTGAAGATCTATGGTGCCCAGCACCCTCTGGGGCTCGATGTCAGGGAAGACGCCTCCTCTCCCGCAGGGACTGAAGACTCCCACCTGAACGGGTATGGGAGAGGCATGGCAGAGGACTACATGGTCCTTGACTTGAGCACCACCTCCAGCCTCCAGTCCAGCAGCAGCATCCATTCCTCCAGAGAATCCGACGCAGGCAGTGACGAGGGGATTCTTCTTGATGACATTGATGGGGCGAGTGACAGTGGGGAGTCGGCACACAAGGCCGAGGCCCCTGCCCTTCCTGGCAGCCTAGGAGCTGAAGTTTCAGGATCTCTTATGTTCAGCAGCTTGTCTGGGAGCAATGGTGGGATCATGTGCAACATTTGCCACAAAATGTACAGCAACAAGGGGACCCTGAGAGTGCACTACAAAACTGTGCATTTGCGAGAAATGCACAAGTGCAAAGTCCCAGGTTGCAATATGATGTTTTCCTCTGTACGAAGCCGAAATCGGCACAGTCAGAACCCTAATCTCCACAAAAACATTCCCTTCACTTCAGTAGATTAGTCTCAGAATGGACACTACAAATGCCAGCTCTCACCAGATGGCCTACGTGTTTGAACTGCCATAGTCAGTGTGCGCTTATGTACTCGGGGTGTGTGTGCGTGCGTGTGTGTGTGTGTGTGTGCGCGTGCGCGTGCATTTATGTATGCTCTGTGGCTACATAAACACACACGTATTTCCTTGAGATAAATAAGATAAACACTAGGTGCTTTTGAATTTTTTTTACTTTTCCTTTATGGTTTTGGGGAGGGTAAGGTATCTTTGATTTGAGGGTGAAAGCAGAGTACCCCTTTAAACACACACACACACACACACACACACACATCATGTGCAACTAGCCCCCAGTTTTGACAGAATAATTCTTGGTCTTCCCCAAAGAGACAATTTCTTGTACCCATGACTGTTGCCTGCAAAAATAAAAGGGAAAAAAAAGAAAAAAGAAACAAAAAGGACCTTCTTATAGTTGTCTTTTGTGAACTTTAAGGTTTTGAAAGAATCTTCAATTAAAGCATGGCAGATTCACCTGTAAATATTTAGCCTTGAGGGGCCATTGATGTAAAACAATTGTATTGATGGTTGTTTAACTTTTGTTTAATTTTTACAGTTACATCCAGCTGTTAGATATGCAGGAAAAAAAATAGTTTGCTGGCTAGCTCTATTCATTTATGTTAGCATTAATGCACATTTTTTTTTTTTTTAAAATACATGGTCTTGTTTTTACTACCTGTTAGATAATAGTGGTAAAGAGGTGCTGGCATGCTTTACAGCACAGATCTGATTTTTAAAAATGTCCTGTACTAGTACAAATCCCGTCATGCACTTTTTTTCAAACACTACAAGGGGATGTGTAATATCCATGCTTCTTTTTATCCTTAAACTATTGCCATACTTCAGTAAGTGTCTTTTTTAAAAAAACTTCACTTGTATAAAAATGGTCTGGTCAGTATAGGGCACGAATGCCAAACAAAAGTATTAGTGTTAACACAGAACTGCCAACTTTGCACAAGTTTCCAGAAACAAAAATACAATTAGTCACTCAACATAACCACAGGCCAATTCGTTGGCCACCAAAAAACCGCTTTTTAGAAAAACACTTGGTGATTCTTTCAAGTGCCGAATGTTACTAGAATCAACATTGCATCCTTCTTGCTTATATGTTAAGTTACATAAAAGGAAAACAAAATTATGTGGTGTGAAACAGCCAAGGCATTTATTCTTCAGAGTCAGGATAATATTTCAGAATACAAAGCCCAAATTACCCACTACGGAACAAAAATGAATACAGTAAAAGAGTTGAACACTCATTTCCAAGGCCCTAGCCCTTATCCTTTAAAAAGAAATCCTCTGAACTGGGTCGGTCTGTTGTATGGCTGCCTAATTTGTTGCAAATTTTGCAGTCGTACCATAATTCAGGCCTGTTTGATAGACAAAATCAAAAGGCATTTAACAGCGGCAGTACTTGGAAGCTTTGAAAACATGTGCTAAACTTGAATTGAGCAACACTCCTTTTCTGAAAAGCCAGAAGAAGAGGGTTTTAAAGCAGGATGTCTCACTGTTGAGTGTTTTGTGTTTCCCCACACGATTTGTCAGAGAGAAATGAAAGCAAGCCTGAAACCAAGCAATCGAGAGTGAGAGAGGGAAGAGACTGTTCTCCAACCCTTTTTGTTTTGTTTTGTTTCCGATGTTTACACATGTTGCCTGAGCTGGTTAACCACATCGGCAGCCTCAGCTACCACAACATACTGACTAAATGATGATATTTACTCAAGTTCAGTCTGCAGCCAAAACCATTAGGGTGTGCATTGCAGACTGTTTTGTTGTCTTTTTTTTTTTTTAAGTGGAAGGGAAAAGGAGATAAACAAGGAATATTTTGTCAAACAATACGCAATAATTTGAAGAGAATGTATTTCTTGTTTGCATTGAATGGCCTCAGACATTTCTCTCATCAGTCTAAAAGTTAGAAATACCCCTTCATTTTAACTTATGTTGTTTCCATTTTTCATATGTTTTTGTAACTATTTTTTCTATGTTCACATCAGGATTCACTTCCGTTAAATTTGCCAAAGGAAACTGTTAATATGTTTCTGTTGTTGTTATTATTCCTGTAGGATTTATTGTACCTCACAGTATTTATTGTTTCCCAAAATAAGCATCATTAGTTGGGGATTCAGTATTTTTATTTGTGAAAATTTCAGAAACAATAGATTCTTAACGATAAGCTAGCTGTGTCTAGGAGCTTTATCTTTTCACCTCCCTCAGAGGATGCGATAGAGATCATTTTAATTCTTCATTTGTTCCACAGGGAGGAAAGACCAAAAGTATTTGCAGTACAAAAGAAACTATATCAAACACTATGTTAAATAACAAGTGTTTATGGTAAAAGCTGAGGAATTAGTAATAACTGTTTTTGTTTTCTTGTACCTTTGAATTCCCCAAAATCTTAACTGCTTTATTTTGGTGTTATGTTAAATTGAATAGACAGAGATGTTTTTCCTTTGTTTTATACCATTTAAGACTCTGTACAGTATGTTTGTGAAAGATTGAACTAGAATAATGAAAGTTTGTTTGCAAACATTTTGGCCCTCTCAGCGTTCTCTGTATTGTGCTGTTGCCCCATTACCATCTTAACTAGATTCGATTAGATTCAAAATGGGTGGGAAAATATTTTTAGTATCCCAACAAAACATAGAAACTCTGGCTTTTGCAACGTGCATAGAGTACATGTAGTTTTATGAAAACAAATACACATTTTTATTTCAGCAACTTTGAAAAGTTATACTCGGTTGAGTTATTAGAACTCATCTTGTACAAAAGCAATGTTTAGTCTGTTTAGTGTCAAATAAAAGGTCAGATAGCTCTCGTGGGTGAGTTATATAGCTGTCAGCAGGTCACATCAGCAAATGAAGCAGGCTTAGAACAAATGTTTGTTACTTGCTGCAAACCAAGCTAATGTGTATAGCCAGTTAAGTCCAGAAGTAATGAGATTCTAGTAGTTTCCCTTGCTTGGAAACATGAATGTGTTCACCTGTGTTTTGTCAGAGAAATGGCAATAAGTCCTGGACAGCTGACACTTTTGAAGAATCTCCCCTATTTGCTACTACTTTTGTGCCTCAAGTGCCCAGTCGTTACAGTGGCCTTCTAAATGAGTAAATAACATTTTCCAGTATAAAGCCTATTTGCTTAAAAGGGATGGGGCAGTGAATGGATGTAGTACATGCAACGGAAAATCATAAAATGTACAATTCTTTGGTTCCTAACGTTTTCCTCGTTCTTGAGTGTGTGCCTGAGTGTAGTATTTGGGCTTAACTAGAATTCTAGTTAAGATGGTGATCCCATGGCTTACTTGCAAACAGGAAGGATAAAGAGATCAGCATTTTAGTCATTGAGCTCTTCATCTTTGCCTATTCCTACTCATGTATTTTTTCACAGGACTTTTCCTGTTGTTAAACAGTTTCTCTCCATCCACATCCATTCTGTGCTGGCTGAAAATTAATAGTGATGTAGATTTGCATCTAACAAGCTTCTTTCCGTGTGATTGGTTTTAGCCAGTTTATCACAGGTACAAAATTAGCCAGTGTTACTGTGCATGTTCTCTAGCTGATGTTGAAAATTACTGTCTTGATCATATAAAACTATTTTTGTAAATATCAGGTTTAGTCTGCTTTCAGGAATATCTGCATGCTATGGAAAGAAGGCAAGGAAAAGGATAGATAATAAGTAATTTGGTTTAAAAGTGTGATAAAAATCCTTGGCATTCTTTATTCTGGTATTAAGTGTATTTAAATACGTCAACCCAATGTAACTCATTCCAGATCTTAGCCAGCTGCCCTGTTCAGCCTGTTGCCTTTTAAAGGTTTGAAGTTGTTAGTGCTTTCCTTTTCAACATGGCAAACATTTTTTGAAACCTTTTTGGCACAATGGTGCCACTGTCCTCATAGTGGTTATTTCTTTTGTCATGAATTTCCAGGCCTTTCCAGTAAGAGAAGAAAGGCACTTAACTGGTTAACAGCCGCATTAGCATACATTGCTCTAAGGGGGGAAAAAAATCTTTGACTATATCAAGAATGGGCTGTTCCAGAGGCAGTCTCCTCATTTTACTGAGGAGAAGCTATGCACGAGGTTCCCACCAAATACAGTGTGACCTTTTTTTCCCCTTTCTCTGTACACACCCCAGATGTGTGCCAAGCAAATGAGAATGAGGGCCGTTGACAATGAAAACATAAGCTAGTCACCAGATTGAGACGGACATGCTGCTAACTGCTGATGACTTGACCTGAGCAGTCCTAACTTGTATCTGGTCTGTTAACATTGGGTTAGATTGACTAACAGAGTAAATAAAATTCAGCAGTCATAAGACACGCTACACCTGCTATCATCAAGAAATAAATCATCCAGAAAAAACTTTCATCTTGTGGTCACACCCTTTTCTTAAGAGCTTCTTTTTATAAATTACAACAAACGAATTTAATTTTTGAAAATCACTTCTGCAAAACTTGAAATACTTAGGTGGTTTTGCTTTTCCCTCGCATTGTCTATTTTTTGGGGATGAATCTAAATGAATAAGATGGGCAGTAAAAGGTACCAATAGGATCACAGTGTGTTCATCAGAACTAAGTAGAGCGTAGCTGGAAAAGGAAATCGCTAATGCACTGAAGTGTTTGCTCGAGAGGAAGGACTATTGATGTTAGTGACCTGCAGAGTTCTCGTGACCAGGTGAGTCAGCTCTGAAGAAGCGATTAGGAAACCAAGGAGCTAAGTGGAATAGCTGAAGTTCCTTTGGGGTCAGAAAGAGCCAACAGTTGTGGGGTTTTGGTTGCTTTTGCTTTGTTTTTGAGTGGGAAGTCTTGCTGGAATCCCCTGTGAAGCAAAAGATGCCAGGGGTCAGCTGGGCTATAGAAAAGGCCAGTGGTAAAACCCCGTTTTCATTCAAATGGAGGAGTAGGTGCAAGTGGCACCAGCTTAGATCGTTCCTTTCTTGATCGTTGCTCTTGCTGGCCGCTGTAGCGACACAACAAAGCCGTGATTGTAATTAGTACCAGGCTAAAGACCTTGAGCAAAATGGGAGCTCATTTACTCTTCTGTGAGGTACACAAGCAGCTTTTCATGTTTTCCCTCAGAGATAAACCACGTGTGATGGTCTTGCTTGCGTTAGTACTAAGGTCATTTTGGTCTGTCCCAGACGGGTCCGGTATTTCCTGTAGCTGGAGTGTTGCTCACCATAAATAGTCATTTTCAAACAGTATTATGTGAATCCAGCTGTACAGCTGACTAGTGAGTTACCTCCTATCGCTGTTACTCACACACCTGTCCATCCTTGTGTGGTTTCATCATCCTCATCCTTCCCACATCTTGCACAAAATGATTTTTCTGGTCATTCGGCAATAACTGTATGTCAAATACTGTCTTTTTGTCGTTTGTTGAAAAATCCAAATGCTTAATAACAGAAGGTTAAAAAAAAGCATTTTTACAAGTACACTGAATTGGATCAGCATTATTGTTCATTATAATGCTATATATATTTTTGAAGCAACATACTATAGTTGTCATAAAACTATCTTTATTCTTCTCCTCTAAAGTGTTGTTGTAAATTCATTTGACCTTTACTGCAGGAAAAAAAAATCTTTTTTATATGGGGTATGAAGACAGGGCTCAGTTTGTAACAAATAGTGGACCATTACAAAAGACGAAAGAAAAAAGCCAGGACTGAGCAGCAAGAAGCTTCAGTTCAATTTCACCTCATATCTTTCTAATAACGTACTTGTCACTTTATTACCTTCCAGTAATGTGAACGCCGCTGACAAGACTGTCACACTAACAGCAGACAACACCCTCTCTGCTTCAGCCCAGCTCTCCTGGCTACTTATTGCCCTGGCCCTGAAGGGACACAAACTAATAGTGTGCTTTCCAGTTCAGCACTTGGCCATCAAATATAAAAGGATGCGTAATTGCCTGTTTATCCCCTTGTGAAGGAGAAATTGACTACAAGGGCTAGGCTTTCCCATCGAGTTCCCTGATGTACACACACATCCACAATCATTCTCTCTCTCTCTCTCTCTCCCTCTCTCTCTCTCTCTCTCTCTCTCTCTCTCTCTCTCTCTCTTTCTCGCTGTCTCTCCTCTCTCTCCTCTCTCTTCTTACCTCTCTTCCTCCCCTCCTAACATAAAAGCACATACACACACCTACTGTGTCTTTGGGAAACCCAAGGCTGCCTCTCTATGCCCTCTCCAGCTATTAAGTGAACAGTAACAAGATGACTTCTTAACTAAAGGGTCTGTAGAGAGACGCTGTCTGTGACAGCATCCTTTGCTTCTTTGAAAACTTAAGTATTGCAATTCCATGCCTATCCATTTTGGGAGTAATGGGTGCGACGCTATAATTGAAGCAAATTTTCCTACAAGTCAGTGGCATAAGTAAGATTATATTGCCCCCTAATCTGTAAGGAAAAGATTAAAATGTTTTTCTTCCCCTTCAAAAAGTGCACATGTTGTAAACTGGTTATGCATGGTAGTTTTTTTTCTTATCTATGGCATCAAATCATTGATCCAGATGTACAAATGTGTATTTCAGTGACCCTCCAAATCCATAGTGTAACATGATAGATTAATTTATTTTGTCCAACTGGACTGACAATCTAAAATAAATGGCACCAGGCTTTGGACTTTAATCATTAAGACGAGGACCACCCTCTGGGTAAAAGGTAAATTCTCCACTTTGAAGAACTTTGGTAAGTACAAGTACAGTGAGCTTTAGAAAATCGAGTGATGGGGGACCAAAGGTACAAAGGAAGAATACATGAAAATGTTACATTCCAAAATGCCTTGAGCGCAAACAATGTGTCAGGATTAGCTGCTATTTTTGTATACTGAAGTACTCAAAATGTTGGTTGAAAAGTGGTAGGTAGTGACTAAAAGAGATGCAAGATCTTTCGCACATCTTCTTTCTGGAAGTAGGAAGGTTGCTTCCTTCCAACCTTCCCGCAGCGGGTCTCACAGAAGATAGCTGTCCCCATTACAAACAGTCGCATTTCAACAAGATATTAACCAGATAAGATATATGCAGGTATTGGTATCATCTTCCATGTGAACTTTAGCAAGGTGAGGAAAGCAACAGCTTTAGGGCTAGACAGTGTGACAGATCTATGTTGACAAATCTGTGCTACATCATTTCATGAACCAGTGGGAAGAAAAGCACTTTGAGCAAGGACTCTTGGGTCAGAGAAAAGGCAGGTAGTCGACTTAATACTTCTTCAGTTCCTCAGTGTGTATATATTATAATCATTTATCAGACGTCTTAATAAAATCTTAATTGAAAACCCAGTTGCCAAAATTGCACAAGTTCTGCTCACCGATATTAGCTTTCACCCCTTAACTCTAAAATAACAGGGATGCTTAAGGACACTTGTCATAGTTCTTTTAATGCTTTGTTTCATTTTTTTTTTTTGAAAGAATCTTTGAAGGGAAGGAAGAGCAGAAAGAGGTATTTTAAGAAAAATGGAGAGAAGTAGATAGTATTAAAAGTATATTTCTTGAAGAGAGAGTATCTAAGTGCTATACCAAGATTTTATAAGGCTTCCTGTTGCCAAATGTGATGTTGAGATAATGCACAGCTAAGATGGCAAATCCATCAATTATTCACTGGCTCTGCCCACTTCTGTCATGGAATGCAAGGACTGAGAGGTGACTCTGGGGAGATGCTGGGTGTGTGAGAGCTCCATTCATCTGGCCCTGGATATGTTTCTCAAAAGAGAGGGAGAAAGCTCCAGTCCCTGCAAGGTGAACTGAGCTGGCACTGTTTCAGTGGGAGTCTCACTGCCTGCCTTTTCCATGCTAGGAGACAAAGCATCCCCTACCCCACTTGTGAATCGGTGCTGTAGCCACCGTGAGTGGCATCGGTTCATGAGGCGTGATGCTCTTGAACTCCCAGACAATGTGCTGAGTTAATAGATTCACTTGAGATGTATAAACCAAGGCTGTTTTTTTGTTAATCTAGTACTCAATTTGGAATGTTTTTGCATGTCTTTGTACAGAGTAATCCATTCCTCTCGTTATGTATCTTAATCTCCCCTGACTTTTCCGTCGTCTCTCTTAATCCCACCCTTTGCGCTTCTGATCTCACCTACCCCCCCTAAAAAAAAAATAGTGTTTGAGCAAGAAGGTAGAACACGCTCTCCCTCATCCTGGTTTTAATCGCTTTGGAAACGTGTGTTCTGCCCTGTCCAGGGTTTACATAACATGAATTATATGAATGAGATGTTCTAGTATTATATATTAACCTGATAAGACTATCTAAGATTTCTAATATATGGTGCATTCACTTTCCTGTGCAAACTTTGGTTCAGCTGCCTTGCAGAGAATCTTACCATTTTCCAGCCAGTGCCAGTATGAAGAATGCAGCAGAGCTAAACATGGGTACATGAAGGTCAGAGGGGTGAGGACGGTTGAGAAATCAGGAGAAGACTTGGGCTTTAGGCGACCTGGGCTCTTCATGTGTAGCTCACTCCGCTGTATGAGGGTGACTGACACGCCCGTGGGTGTTTCCCAAGTGAAACAAAAGCCCATTTCCCCACTCCCCTCACACCTTGCCTGGCTTCTTCCATGAAGTCCTTGCTGCTTTTCTGCTTCCCCAAAGGTGAGGGGAAGGGGCAGGTTGGGGAACTGGGAAAGCAAGTGCTCTGTTCTCCCCTCCTGGTGATGGGGTAGTCCTTTTAGAACTAGCAAGATCCCTCACACGGCTGGGAGAACACGTATCTCCCACTCACTCTAGACCCATTGGTGTGTCTCCAGTGACAAACATATTAGACTTAGCCTTCATATTTGACAGCAAAAGTGGCCAAAAGGAATTGAAATATCTTGAAGAAAGGAATTTTCACCAAGATATGTCCCCTCCCTCTCCCAGAGTTTAGCAGTTGAGTCCTTTTTTTTGTTCTCATCTGCATAAAACCAGTCTCTTCCAATAAGCCTGCCTCAGAATCAAAGTCTGTACTACAAAAGATAACTGCACCAAGGGATGGGGTCAGCTTGCATCGCCCTGATCTAATCATTGTGACGTTGGTAGCTTCTGAAATACTGTATGTACCTTAAACAAGCGTTTATTTTTGTTTTGTTCTGTTTTGCTTTTTGTTTTTATTGGTAGTGTAAGGTAAATTTTTTTATTTGCTATATTCCTTTGGTTGTATTTTCTGTACTATAACTGCCTACAGTGTGTCTTTTGCATAAAATGCATAAGGGTTTGGGGATGTAAATGGAATTTTATTCATATTTTGTCCAAATACCTCTTGTAATTTGTATCAAAATTCTTGTACAATTTTTATATTAAAGATTTATCAGTCACTGATCTCTTCTTACCTTTTTGATTTCAAAAAACCTCCACACACTCAGACAGATCTTTACAAAATGCACCGAACAGCCCTTCAGCTCAGTGTAAGTCACCATATTTAAGCACACTGTTGGCGAACTCAGAGCCAAGCTCCGATTTGGACTGAACCACTATATTATTTAATAGACTTCTCAGGTAGACCAAGCTCCTCTTTTGCTCAGATGGCAAAGCTGGGTCAGAGCTGCAGAGGTCCTAGCCACTCCCAATGGGGCACAGCAGACACTGCCCTCCGTCTTCTTCCATCCTTTGCGGATGCCTTTTCTGTGACTTTCCAGAGGTCCTTTCCCAAAGCCTTAGCCCCTGCACTTTTGAGGAAAAGACTAGAAGGAGAACTTAGGTGTCTTTGCACCTGAGCTTTTCAAAAATAAATTTTCTTCCTCAACTCTTTCAAATTTGTGGACAGCAGCCACCAGGATGATGACTTCATATTTTTTCAGACTGAATGCTTGTCTTTCAGTTTACAGTCTCTTGGCAGCGGCTTTCCACAAATTGTCCTTGTTATAATCTAGAAATAAAACTGGCAGATGGAGAGATGTCATAATCAGCAGCATTTCCTCCTCCTGTCGTACTGTGCAGGGACCATGAATGAAGCATAGAGAAGGTGCATTTTGGGAGCTAAATGTTGAGCACACATGGGCATAAGAATGGGAACAGTGAACACTGGGAGAAGAGGAGGGGTGCAGGGACTGAAAGGCCACCTACTGGGTGCTGTGCTCACCACCTGGGTGATGGGAGCATTTGTACCCCAAACCTCAGTATCACACAATACACCCATGAAACAAACCTGCACATGTACTACCCTATAGTTAAAAGTGGAAATTATAAAAAAAAAAGGTGATTTTGACTCAGCAGTATTTAATATCACCCCCACCTCTTAAACCAATCCAAGTTAAAAATTAGGCTGGGCCCAGTGGCTCACGCCTGTAATTACAGCACTTTGGGAGGCCAAGGCGGGCTAATCACAAGGTCAGGAGTTCGAGACCAGCTTGGCCAATATGGTGAAACCTCATCTCTACTTAAAAAAAGAATTAGCTGGGCATGGTAGGGGGGATCTGCAGTCTTAGCTGCTAGGGAGAATGAGGCAGGAGAATCGCTTGAACCCAAGAGGTGGAGGTTGCAGTGAGCCGAGATCAACGCTACTGCACTCCAGCATGGACAATAGAAAGAGACTCTGTCTCAAAAAAGAAAAAAAATTTAGACTAACCAAGACTGTAACTTTTGCTGAAATCTCCCCTTGAATTTAGAATTTTCTGTTCTCCATTAGCTGAGCCAGATCTGCTCAAATCTCTCCAGTTTCCTGTGGCCTCTAATGCAGGCACCTAAGCTACCAGGACTCTAGAGCAATGCCCTGGCCCCAGGCCTCTGGACAGGCTGCCTATACCTCTCAGGCCTCTAGTAAGGAGCGATCCAAGCTCAGGTATCACTGACTGAGGGTCTTTCCTAAAGCATCAGGGATGCCAGACACCTAGCCTTGATGGAGTTTCCCTCCTTGATTTCTCTGAACTCCCATAGATGGATTTTGGGGTGAAGGCAAAGAAATGAAAGGTTAAGCAACTTCAGAAAAGTCAGCCTCTGTTGAGGCATATGGTTATTAAATGTCACGGATGTGTGAAGGCATTCCTGCAGGGAATCCAAGTACAATTATGATCTTTTCATCTGTCATAATAAGGCTGTAATTGGTAAGAATTCTCCCTCAAATAAAAAAAAAAGTTGTTTTAAATGGTGTAAATACTCCTGTTCAGTGAAGAGGCACCCATGAAGACAGCTCTTGGCACAAAGCTAATCAGAACTCCTGGGTTGTGGCTACTTGCTCTCCTAAGCCACTGGGAGGCTTGCCGCTTGCAGTTTGCCCCGTGTCAGTTGACAATATGACAGTAGATTAAGTGCTACTAATTTAATAAAACTGCTCTGAGGCCGGAGCTGATCTATCAATGAAGACTAGAGAGGATCGCTTTGGTAGGGGGTTGGGGAGGGGCGGCAGAGAATATTGAATTGCCTGAAGTAATACTGGGGGGAAAATCTATTGATCCTCAGTAAGGAGCAGTTATTTTTAGTCACCTGATTCTTGGGCACCCAATCATTACCCATATTCATCAAAGACGTATAATGAACAGAGGTATTGATTAACAGGGGTAGCTGAAGAGATTTCCCAACAGTGCTAGTTCACATTGATAGGTCTCCGATGGGAATACAGGCCATGCTGCCCTGGAACATAACTTATTGTGTTCTAGGTCCTTCTATTGATTTTTTTTTTGGCAGGGGGCGGGGTGGGGAGGAACAGCCTTACACACAGTGCCACTCCTGTGACCTTTCTCTGAAACCCTCCTTGGAAAGAAAAGAAAAAGCCCAACTCCTTGCAACAAGTACATAAACCTGCTCTAAGTTTTCTGTCTCTGTCCAGGCTGGCCATCCGACCTCATCTTTGATTGCTATGTGTTATCTTGATTTGCAGAAATTTGCTGGAAGCTGGGACATGCCAGTCAGAGCTTAGAGCCATCAGGCATATGAAGCTTTCCCTCCCCTAAAGATCAACATATGGCTTCAGGAAATTATCGTGTTAGGATAATTGCACCAAGTTGGCATGGTAGGAACATAATGAGTCCCGGCTTCAGCATGCTGACCCCAAACCCAGTGGTGCCAGCGCATAGTAACTTTCCAAGCATTTTGCCTCGTGGCAGGAATCCTCATTGAGCTGCTGTTTGCAAAAGGCATTTGGTTGGATTTCTAGCGTGTGCCCTGAACCTGCGCTGCCATGTTCCGATCATACGAGGGAGTTTGCTGTGCTGTTCACAGGAGCGCTTGTCCTTCCAGAGAACTAGTGATGACCCAAATGCCATAACCATCAGAAGCCATGTGCTGCCTGATGGGCGACATGCTGCTTAAAATGCTGATATGTAACTAGAAACCATTAAACCCCAGGGGGAAAAAAGTAAAGGATTAAGACAAGGACAGCTGTAAAAAATAAAGCTCAAATGCATCATTAGAAACCAGAAATTCACAAAGTAAAACTGTCTGTCATCCCCACTGGATATTAGCAACGCTCGACTTGTATATTAATGAAATACTGCAGGAACTCGAAGTCACCCTTTAACCATGGAAGCAAGAGGGAAGTTTCTCTTAACTACTTGAGCCCGGGTTTTTGATAACGTTAAATTTTCGTTGCCTCTGAGTATCCTCACCAACCTGTCATAACTTGTCTTACCTTGGGCAGCCGACTTTTTCTTCTTCAAGTGCAGTCTCTCCCTTCAGTGCTGGGACTTTTATGAATGCCACCTTCAGCCTTGTCTTTACATTTCTTCACTGTTTATCACCAGGCTCACTTCCATTTTTATTTTCTTGGCTGCTATCATCTTTATGTAAAAAGTTCAATATATTTGGATCTTCCAGGGTTAGACTATACCATGACTTCTTTCTAAGTGTAAGAGCTTATAGGGAAAAAAAATCAAGGGCTTTAAAAATTTTAAATCCAGAGTTCCATGCATCGCGTAGCAACTTCAAGTTTTTGGAATGCTCCACAAAATGATTATAAGCAATTGAATTTGGAAGTCATCAGGGTTTGGGGCATGTGCCGTGTGAGGTGATTTAAAGTTATTAGCCACTTCCAGGTTTTTAGAGAGATTCATTTTTACCAATACAAATGCTATTAGCAATTCAAAGCACTCTCATAATTCCCTCTTTGTTCTTCCCCCATGATCTCAATTTAGATTTTTCTTATTTCTTCCATAAGTGGAGAATTTCCTTCCAAAGTTTCACAAAGTTATTTGCAGGCTGAAAACAAGACACTTATTTGATTATTTTCAGATGTCACATCAATTGGTCTTCAGCCAAAAGTAATCCTACAAAATGTTATGCTTTTATGCTTTCTGTTCTTTCAAAAACCACAAACCTGCGTGTTTGAAAACACCACTCTTTCCAAAGCCCTCGGCCTCGGCCTCACCCACAGAGCTCGGAAGTAAGGATGGTTTCAGGCTTCTATATGTACTTGCCTTCTCAAGGAAACAGCAGAATACAAAACCCACTCACTTTTCTTATTTCTATGTGAGCATAAATGGGGAGGGGAGGGGTGTGGGAAGCCAGTAAGTTGTGAAATCCAGGAAGGTGAAATATAGGTGAAGTCTAGGAATTTGTGTCTTGTGTTCTAAATACATTCAAGATGCAATGTTTCGCTTGCCCTCGTAGTTTCTGGTACATAGTAGGCATTCAATTCATATTAATAGCATAACTGGGAAATGGGGGTGGGAGCGTGGATGGAGTCCTTTGTTAAATGCCAAAGTCAGAGCCAGACTTAAAATGGGGTAAGCACAAACATCCCTCCCACTAAACACAGCTTAAAACCCAGACAGAATGCATGGGTCAGCTATTGAGCGCTGTGAAAAGCAAACCAAGCAGAGGCACTGAGGAGGAAGACCAGACTCCAAAATCCCCCCAAAATAGCAGCACTTTGCTATTTGGTCCCCTTCAGGATGCCCTGGGCCAAACTCATCAAAATCCAAAACCCGGAAGTGGGCATCAGGGCGTGATCAGAGAGATCTCTAGAAGAAACCTTCCTCCAGTCAAGGAGTAGGGAAGAAAAGAGCAAATGCTCAGACGGAGAGGGAGAAATTTCCTATTTCTCTTTCTTTTTTTCCCCCATTTTCTTGTGCCTGCCTCAAACCCACACAAGCAGCAGTGGCAGCAGGAACCACCAGGGGTGAACACTCTGCCAGAGGGAATCCTCCTGCCTCAGTGGAGGAGCCATTGTCCCAGGAAGGTGGTGAACTCCCTTTTGCTTTTCATCTCCATCTGTCCTCCCACCACTTGACCCTGGAAGTTAGCACAAGGGCAGCAGGTACAGGGCAGAGCACCAGCCTTCTGGCTAGAGGATTGAAAAGGCCAGGCTGAAAAGTTTCAGGGAGACATAGAGAGGGAGGTCCTTGGGAAAGTGATCCTTTAAAGTGACCAGTGCCTGAGCTTACCCC